GAATGTGAGGGGATTGTGTGAGAGAATGTTTAAACAGGAGCTTGCTGAGAAAGCAGAAACGTTGTGCAGACCTCGGCAGATAAACCAGATTCGACCAACTTTAAGGAAAGGAACGCCAGAGGTGAAAAGTGCCCAGCGAGGAAGACGTACAAGCCTTCATCTCTAAGACCCCCGCCCGCGACCCCAGGAGACACTGCGCAGACGCAGCACGGAGGAGTTCGGGGTGGCAACTATGATAATGATTTCCTGGAACTAATTGTAATAACCCCTCCCTATCCTCGCACACCTAACGTATATGCAACCGCATGGATGAATATGTATTACTTTGTGGCATATAAGGAGCTTGCCAACAGCCCTAGGGCGTGCACGTTTGTGGAGGAGCGATCCCCCGTGCACCCAGCGCTGAATAAACATACCTTCTTTATAACCTTACTGGTTGTAAGGCCGTTTATTCCGCACGTCAGTTTTGGCACCCCAGATGGGACCCTCTCTGCTCGGCTGCAGGATCGACTGAGGAGCGGACGTCCTAGGCGCGCCCCGGGATTTCTCGGAGGAACTCCGCTCCCAGGCGCTCACTGCGGGAGCAGACAAGGACCATCTGCAGCGGACAAGCTATGCTAAGAGTTTGAATCCCCACCCGGATACGGGTAGCTTGGGGCTTGCAGCCCCCACCGGGGAACAGAAAAAGGACCGGTATTTGTTTGTGTGTGTGACTGAGACGTGCAGTTAAGCACGAAGTGAGCGTGGAGTTCTGATCCGCGGTTCCGTAGCTCCGCGAGGGGCGCGGCCGGAGACGAACCAAGCGAAAGTTTTGTCATTTGTAACTATGTTTAAAGAGATCTCTGTTTTAAAATTTAAACAACAGCAAAGTTTGGCTAATGGTAGCTTGGAGTGTCTTAGCAGCTGCCGAAGGGATAATAACTGGATTGATAATTGTTGTGTGTTTTGTAAGTGTCCCAGTATCCTATGTCTTATGTGACTAATGTAATGTATGTATTTTAGAGACAGTGGTATTATTGGCATTATTAATTGTGGGGCTGACCTGTTGGTATTTGGGGAGGATTTGGGAAGAATTTATAGCCTCACTGAAGTATATTGTGTTGGGTTAAAAACGGGAAACACACAGGACAGTGGAATTCTTCAGAAAAGTCCCCTGGGCTGTATACTGGCCCACTGGAAGAATATTGCAGGGGGGTTGGGAGGGCCACTTAGTAAAAAGACTCTCATCAAATATTGTAAGCAATGGTGGCCGCCATATCGATTAGAAAGTGAAGAAAAGTGGCCAATGAATGGGACCCCAAATTATAATACCCTCCTTCAACTTACGTTATTTCTCAGAAGAGAGGGAAAATGGGATGAAGTATCATATGCAGATATGTTCTTTTCCCTGCGAAATCATCCGGAGCGGCAAAGAGACTGTGGGATGGTCCCACCCTCTGACCCGCTAGTGTTAGCATTAGAAAGAGAACAGGCTAAGGAATTAAAAGGTAAATTAAAGAGATACTGTTCTGCCTGTAGTATTGGGCAGCGATGCACACAGCCCAGAAAAATCAGGCGCAAATTGCAGAAACTTAGACCAGCTGAAAGCCGAAATTTGGAGATGATATTGGATGAGGCTTGGAGGGTATTCAGCAACAGGGAAGCGGCAAACCAATGAACCCAGAGACAAGTAGTTGCTGTAGTAAGGGAACAAGTAGTAAATGGCCCACGGAGAGGCCAATTGAGAAGGAATCAATGTGCCATCTGTAAACGAACAGGGCACTGGAAGGACGAGTGTCCTGAATGAATGAACAATAATAGTTGGAATTGGAAAGGCCCACGGAAACAACGGGTTATCGCCCATGTTAAGGACAACTGACGGGAACCTGGGGAATCTGCCCTAGCAGATCCACTGGTTATGGTAGGTTTTGTCTTTTGAATTACTTACTTTGTCATTGGACTACGGGTTTTGTTTCTGTGTATTGATTGGGATCTGACTAAAAGGGGAAACAGTCTAAAGGTGGTATTCTGAAAAAATCTAGTTGTTTTACTTGTCTGGTAACTGTTAAAAAGTGTTGTTTAGATTGTGTCTGATATTGTCTTTTTGTTTCACTTGTGTCTTGTATTTGTGTTATTAAAATGGATAATGTGTCCTCAACAGGATGTAACATTACCAAATGCTCACCATTAGGATGTATTCTGGGGACTGGAATAAGTTTGGGAGCAAGCCCTTGCCTGGGAAAAATTCGATAATTTGTAGATTATGCTGAACCAGAAGGACAGTCATGTGCGCTGAACCTCTTACAAATACAATTTCAATACACTATCAGTCACCAACCAGACAGAAATGCACAATTGACCGTAACCAGAGCTTTGTCTGCACTTGTACGCCACCTTGCGGTGTTCTCACGAACTGCGACTTACCGGAGCAGCCTTAAAAATGACCGATCTCAGAGAGAATGCCTTATAGTTCCCAGAGGTCCTTGTCTGTAACCTGTATCCTATGACTATCAGTCTTACACTCCAGCGTCCCATTCTTAGGCCACTTAGCACCATCCTCCAACTTATACAAAGGTCACCACAGATGACAATACTTTATCAGGTCCCTCACTAACACTGCCTCCCAGAACACCATCCAGGTCTTTCTAATTATCCAAAATAGATCCCAGCAGACCTTCCTTTAAAATTCCCCCACTCTGTTGTCCACCCATTCTATGACACAGGATCCTACAGCTACCTTTTACAAGAAAAGAAAAACAATATCAAACAATAAGACAATATCAGACAAACAGCAGCTGCAATTAAAACAAAGTAACTGCATCACATCTGGCGCTTTATCCTTCTCCAGCTGTTCCCCTCACAGGGTGACGAGACTGGGGTTTGGAACTCCACACTCGCTTCGGGACTTGGTCTCATTTTACTCAATTCACACTCACACACCAAAACCAAATTCTGAGGGGGTCTTAACTTGAACAGTTAAGCCAAGCAAGTTGGAATACAGAGATCATGCAAAGTCTCCAACCTGTCTTGGGTCAGAGATAAACAAAGCAAGTCTTATACCAAATGAGGGACTAGTCACCAAGTACATAATTATCAAAAGAATACCTTTATAAAAATGCCAGTGATCCTTGTCTACCCCTATGGTGAACCAAGTGAGCGAGGAGACCCTCAGAGAAAATCTCTGGGGTGCCCAGGGTGTACTGTACCCATCTGAGTCCCACAGGGGGAAGAGTGTCCTGCCCAGACCCCTCCAGGAGGTATCTCTAGCACTTGAAGTACCTTCAGATACCTCCAGGCTCCACAGATCATTGCTTGTCTCTCAACTTCAACTCTGAGGTATTTCTGAGAAATCCTCCCAAATAAGTTAACAGAGCAATGAGTCACCAATAAGCAGGACTTCTTTATTGCAGCACCGGGTGTCTAGGTGATCTTTACTCCCAACGGCACACCAGGCGGGCTTTCTTCCCACAGTATCTATAAATCAGATATGCATATTCATTAGAAATCTGAGAACCCTCTTACATATACATGACTTTCCTGATAACTCATTATCATACTGTCCAGCCTACACACACTTTTGGCTCTTTGTGGTCTTGAAGATCTCTGGTGGATGTTTACTTCATCATCTTCAACTTCAACTATCCTTCTGGTGAACTCAGCTGAAGGCCCCAGTCCTTCTTGGTCTTCTTGCTTGGGCATCTTGTTCCCATTATTAAATCCTGTTAGCTTTAGAGATACATTCTTGTGGTTATCTGCACAGAGCTTCGGAGCCTGCCTAAGCACTGCTATTTTATAGGTTTAGCATCTCAGAAACGACACATATTACAACAACCCTGTTTCAATCCTCTGTATGGCTCCTGCCAATAAAGTCTGAACAAAGTAAATGCAAATTCTGTCTTCCCACATCTAAAACAATCCACAAATGGTATCGAGCCTCACATTAGTTGTGTGTCTGTGTATGTGTGAGTGTGTCCCAATTTTCCAGGGCAGAGTTGGAAATTGAAGAGCAGAGAACAACTCCTAAATTCCCCAAAACAGCACCCTAGAGGACAAAGGCATTTTTAATCTCAAAAAAGACCCAATCCCACCTCACTGTGCCTTTTTCCTTGTATATCCCCTCACAAACTCACCCTAAATCTCTTCCTATGGGTATTTTCCCCCCTTTGAAAAACAGCTGGAGTCCCTCCTGACACATCTGCTTTGTCCCTTGAGGAAGGTGTCACTACGATAAAGACTTAATTTTAATCTCATTTTGGTAAAGAAAAAAATGTTATTACAAAAATAATAAAATGTAGGAACCACATGAAGTGGTTCCTGAGCTGATGCCATTATACGATCCATGAGAAGCTGGAGAAAGCATCACTAGTGGGACAAAGCTTGGAAAATAGGGTGATCTTGACTGTGCCCCTTCATTCTTGGTGATACCTGAGGTGAATCATGCCACGATGAATGAGATCTGCCTTCTGGTAAAACCTCTTCTTGCTCTGGGAGCAGTGGAAGGGTAATTCAAACATATGACGTCGCTTATGATTCAACAAGGAGGAGCAGTTTCTGAAGCTCTTCTGGCACTGGGGACATGTGTAGGGTTTCTCACCCGTGTGGATGCGATAATGGTGGATGAAGGAAGAGCTCTTGCCAAAGCACTTCCCACAGTCAGGACACTTGTATGGATGTTCACCTGAGTGGACCCGGAGGTGAGAGGTGAGGCCCAAGGTGCACACGAAGCTCTTCCTACATTTGGGACACACGTAGGGTTTTTCCCAGAGTGGACATGTTGGTGACACATCCAAGAGTCACTCTTACAGAAGCTCTTCCCACACTGAAGGCACTTGTAGGACTTCTCACCCATGTGGATTGTGTGGTGTTAAGTTAACATGGAATTGCTGGCAAAGTTATTTTCACACTCCAGACAGCTGAAGGGTCTCTCACCTGTGTGAACTCGTTGGTGCCAGGTTAAATTTCATCTTCTGTTAAAAGTTTTCCCACAGTCGAGGCAGCTGTGGGACATGGCACAGGGGCACGGGTGTCACTGTGGGACCAGACACGAGGTGGCTCAAACAGGCAGCCCCTATAGGGCCAGTTGCCACTATGGATGAGCGGAAATGGGCTGGGTGCATCTCCTCCTGATGGTGGAGGTGGGACGGATAGATCCTGACCCTTTCCTGGGTTCCTCACCAAGTTCTTCTCACACGTGGACTGGATGATGTTTCACCAAAGCTGAACCATGACCAAAAGCTCTCCAGCATTTGGGGCACTTGGATAGATCCAACAACGGGTCAACAGAGCTGAATTTTGGTTCAAGCTGTGGCCACCCTCAGGGCACTTCAAGTGATTGCAGCGCAGCTGAGGAAAACCAAACCTGCTTAGGGAGAAAACATGGTGCAAGGAGAAATGGGGGCATAACCCATGGAATTGGACACCACCACCCATTCTTAACAAGGCAAATGGGGCTACACTGACAATTCAAAAGTCTGAAGTGGGGGGACTCTGGGTGTGGGGTCTTTGGGAAGTGCTGGGGGTGACAGCCACTCCGGGGATGAGTTGGGCTACTCCCATTTCACCTACCCTCTACAAGATAACTTGGGCATCCTCCAGTTGCAGCAACCCCACTCCTGGGGCAATGTAGGGGTCTCCTTCTAGGACAAAAGACCTTGTAGATGTCTATGATATTCTGGTTTGGTTTGAAGTGGGTGTTGGCAGGGACCCAGAGGTGGCCCCTGTAAGAAGATGTAAAGCTCCCCCATCTCCAAAAACTGCAATCACAGCTCTGGTCAAGGCCGACGCATCAGAGACCAGGGATGAGCCTCTGCCACTGAGATATGAAAGGAGGGGAAACCTGGGAGCAGAGGAGAGGGGGAGGTGGAGAACTCTGTGGAGCCCAATGAGAGCAGCACTGGGAGCAGCGCTGGAGCAGAGATACCAAGGGCGGGGAGGAAGGAGGGGGAGCAGGTGCCTGAGTACAGTTTCCCCTGCAGCCTGTGAAGGACCACGGGGGCACAGATGGAACCTGCAAAGAAGCCCGTGGAGCCCCAAGAAGCCCGTGGCTCTGTGGGCAGCCCACACTGCAGCGTCTGTTCCTGAGGGGGAACAGGGAGGGACTCCTGTCGGAGGGTTGCTGAAGGACTCTCTCCCGTGGCAGGGACCCCGCGCTGGAGCAGGGGAAGGCTGTGAGGAGTCCTCCCCGTGCTGGGGAAGGAGCAGCTGAAAACAGCGAGTGACCAAGTGGCCACCTTCTATCTCCTCACCCAAGTGGGAGGTTGGGTGAGGCTGGGTAAGGATTCCAAGACCAAGACCCAATAACAATAAACAAGTGCTATTGAGCAGGCATTCCTTATTGCAGCCTTGGGCAGCCCTGGGGATTCTCTACCATGAATTCCAAGGTAGTGAAACACCCCAACTGATATACACCAAAAACATACATATTCAGTTCCATGTCAATGAGTTCCCAGAATTCTTTTACATACTCCTTTTATTCCCTGGAATTGGCTATCTTTGCAGTTACGCATGCTCGATGGTCTCCCCCGGGGGTCTTTCTTGATTCTATCACTTTGTCCTCTTTGTTATGGTCCTGTCTCCAGTCTCCAGCTGGTAGATTGCCCAGGTGGGTCAGAATCAACATGTGGCTTGTCTGTGGGCACCACAGGGTCTTAGAAGACTTTACGTTATCACAACCTGCAGGATGCCTGGCAGAGTTGACTTGATAGTTTCACAATGTACATTGATTTAAAAGCAACCCTTAGGATAGCAAATTCCTTATTTTAGGAAACTTTATTAGGCTATATTTCTATTGAATTTACTAACAAAAACCCTATGATGTATCAGTGTCTTCAAAATGTAGCCACTGAACTTGGCACGGAACATCTGCATTGTTTTGCACATTCAGAGGAACAGGGAGTAATGTTTTGGCCTTATGAAAGCTGGAACCAAAGCTCTGCAAGCTTGTCTCTGGGGAAAACAAAGGAGATATTGAACCAGTCTCAAGAACTTGGAGAACATTTGAAGAAGCCAAATACAACATTTTGGCTGAATCTACCATTCTATGCAGTAACATGCATAGAAGCAGTTACTGGGCTGTCCAATCAAATGGAGTCTGAAACTGCCCCTTGGTGGTGGGAAATCTTTTCAGGATTAGTCTCTGCAGAAAGAACCTGGAATGCTTTCATTCACCCACTTTTGATTGTGTTAGTGTTTGTGATTCTACTGACAGTCGTTAATTGCCTTTTATGGCAGAAGCTGAAGAAACTATGTAAAGGAATTTAGCAAGTGTAAAGAAAAGGGGGCATTGATAGTTGTAGAAATGGACTACAGTGATGACTTTGCTCTACTAAGTTAGCTGCATGGGTTACTGTTCAAAGATTTGCTTTGTGTCAGTTGATGTCAAGCATCCTGCAGGTTGTGATGACATCAAGTCTTCTCAGACCTCTGGCATCTTTAGAAAAAGACCCCTGGCTGTCCCTTCAGTACTTGTTTAAGGCTTTTTTTTTCTTTAGCAGGAAAAAAATCTTTGCTTAGCTGCTAATCTGACATTATGCCCTTTAGCCATTTTAAAAATTATCTCTCCACGATATAGGAAGTGTGCCTTCTTTTTTGCTTCCTCTCTAATCTCTTATTCACATTTCTCACTCCTTGTGGTTGTTTTGCCTTGTCTTGTCCTTGTTTTCTGAAAGTTTTCATTTTTATTATTGCTTCTGAAAAGGAAAACAAAAAAAAAAAACAACAGACTTCTGTAGTCTGTGTGTGCTGATATGTAGCTGAAGGTTCATTCTCTGGATCAGAGCCAGTGGTGCCAGAGGATCTCAAATGATTCCACTAACACTTGGTATTACAGAAGCTGAAGGGCAGCTTTGTGGAATCACCACCCAGCACCAACCTTGCGCAGCATTGGAATCAAACAAGATCTCAGCTCCGTGGGATTGGGTGGCTCCGTGCTCACCGGGTGAGGAACCCCAGATTTGGGACTACACTTTGGACAAGCCAGATGGGACCGCAGCCACAGCCTTGCCTGCTTTGTCTTGCTGCCCCTGGCAGGGAGGAGGGACCGGAACCGAGTCCAGCGCCCACTGCCCTGTTGATCTGGGGACTCCCTCAGCTCCTCTCCCTTCTCAGGCAGTGAGTGACACCAGCTGCTTGAAGTGAGATATTGTGGCAATGAAGGGTACCTAAGGGAAGAGAAAGAGTAAACCTCCTGTACCCCTGCAGGGTGCATCCTGAAACACTGGGACAAATTTAGAGGGTTCCCCTCAGAAAATCAAAGATGAAACTATCATGTGATCAATGGTGGCCACCGTATCCATTAGAAGATAGTAAAAAATTGCCTGAAACTGCCTGTGAATTTGCCCACTGTTCTTTCTTCTGCCCAGACAAGAAAGGTAGATAGTGCTTCAGGGATGAAATTATATGATTGAGGGCAAAAATGCAACTAAACAATGAGAAAGGCTATCTTCCAACATCATATGGCTTTGGATTACTTCCTGGCAGAAGAGGGATTAGTGTGTGTAATATTGGACTTACCAGATTGTTGTTTGAAATGAATGATAAGGGGAAAATCATTAAAGAAACTAAGGAACACAGAGAAGTCACCCATGTGACTGTTCAGACGTGAAAGGGATGAGAATGTGATGTTTTCCAGGCTTCCAGCTGGCTCAGCCCTGAAAGCTCTCCTCTTTTTTGATTTCTGTGGAGTAGCTACATAAAGGTTTTTGCCTTGTATTACCCTATATCCTAGCCAACTTCTCCAACATGCAGTAGCAAATACACAACCTGTAACAACATCATCAGCTGATGATGTTAGAAAAGATGCTCTTTTCCTACCCATTAAGGCTTATTTTTCTATTTCATCTCAAAAGCACCTCAGGACACTGCTGAGCCAGGAGGTGATGTGAGAAGCCAACATGTCCCAACATAGTTGGAATGCAGGATTGTGTCTTTAGGAATGGAAATGGCCCTTAGCAACAAAGAATGGCTGATCCAGTTGACAGGGAAATTAGCCAGAAGGTGCTGAAATCACAAAGGAAGGACACAGCTCAGTACACTCCTCCCACCCTTCTAAGCTATATGCCTGCAGCTGGAGGTTTGAGGAAGAATTTTGGTGAGGATGGGAGTGTCCCTCTGAAGACCAACTCAGAGACACAAGACACATGTACACAGAGGAGTGGCTGAGCTCAAGAATTGTGACTAGAAAAACCTGTGACACTATCAAGAAAGCAAAGAGCTTCTCCACCCAATAACATCACTGGGCTGTGGTGGGAACTATCCTGTTCTAGCTGTTTTTCCTAGTTCTGCGTTCTACTCACTTTCCTGCCTTTTTCTTTCTCTCCTATCTGCTCTAGGCATCTTGAAATTTGTTGTGCAACTCCCCTACAGTTCGGTGTGCACGTGACATCTGACCTCCTTTGGGTTTTAATTTCACCTTCTGGGATTAACCTTGAAACCTTTTCACAGGTCCTGCCAGACAAAAGGTGCAGCTGCTGTGTGGCTTGTACCAGGAGAGGGAAGGCAGAGTCCAGCCACACCTGGCCTCCCACCTGGCTGAGGAGTCTTAGAAAGCAAAGGGGGTTCTGCCCCATCTCTCCTAAGACCCCACTCCAGCACCAGTGCCTACTTGTGGTCCTGATATCGTGTTATCTTTGTTTGTCCTGCTGAGATGTTAAAAAAACGGCTACGTACCTGACTACAGGATCATGACATCAGTCCAGCAGCTGGAGAACTTGCAAGTTTCAGCAAATGGCTGC